CCCACTCCGCCAACATCCCCGAAGCAACCGATACGGCCAAGCATCTTCGTGCAGCCGAGTCAGCCTCTCCCGCTAGACGCAGAGCTTCGTGCCCAAGTCCTTCGGGAAGAGCAAGAACTCGCCGCTTTCGTGCAACGCCATCCTTGTCCTTCAGAAAACACCATGAAGGCCTGGCTTCGCGACGCGGCAGATCACGAAGGCCCGGCCGAAGAAGATTCCCGGACTTTCTCCCAACTCATGAGGCACCTGGGCTGGACACCCAAGAAGCTGGGCTGGTTCCACTACCCTTCCTTCCGTCCCTTGTGGGAATCAGCAGGCCAGAGATGCCAAACAGCTTTTCTGGACCAGCGCAGAGTGGGCAGGGAGCTCTACGAACGAGGAGGGCGCGATTGCATGCAATTCCATTACTATGCCCTGCACTATGCCATGTGCGGCGACTCCGTCCTTCGCGGCATCAACAAGCCCCTGCCTGTCTACGGATTCGCAAAAAAAATAAAAAAAGTATGGGACGGCATCGGATCTTGGCTGGCTTGAGTTGGACGGTCTGGACAAGAAGACCGCTGCCTTGTTCGAGACAGCACCGGCCCATTGAAATAGGTGGAAGTGATTGGGACGGGACGGCAAGGAGCGAGCGGAAAAATTGCTTGGAACCAGCTGCAAGCCAACGTCACTGCCATCATGCCTGCAATGAGAGCACACTAGTAGCACTAGCTTGGCACCGCAGCCCAATTCGCGCTCAAGAGCATCAAGAGCAGAAGTTCCGCACCTTTCGGCGACTATCCAGGCCGAAGCCGCTTCCGACAGTAAGCGGGAAGGAATGGCAGCAGAACCTTCTCCGCCGGCCCTGCAGGTCAAACGGAAATGTACCCGAGCAACCGCCGCCGATGGGCCGATGTCGAGGACGAGGAGGAACAGGTGGCATGCAGGAAGCTAGCAGTCAAGGCATACAGACTCTCTCGCACTCAGTCCCTGTCTTCCTGTTTACCGAGGGAGAGAGAGAGAGGGAGAGAGAGTGAACAAAAAGGCAGAGACGAAGGCAGACAGACGGCCGGATCTTGGCGCGCGCAGGGGACCGGATGGTGTTTCAACTTCGAGGCGTTCAAGAGGCAATACCTGGCAACGCAGTGTTCCTTGACGCTGAAGACGCCAGCCACCGCCCCAGAACTGCATTCGACCACAGTAATGCAAGCACCTGCCGTCCTATGAATCCCGTTGCTTCTGTGGGAAACCCAGCGAGGCCGGAATGATCAAAATCGACGAGGCTCCACGCCAAGCTTTCGACGGCAGCGATAGCTAGCGGACTCACTTTGGAACCCTCGAGCAGCCTCCACCGCAATGTGCCCGCACCGAGGCATGGAAGACGCATCCGACGACATCCCGGACACGAAGGTCGGCCAGTGGCCAAAGTGGACAGCAACGGGCGCACCGACGCAAAAAGGCACTGCCTTGAGGGTTGAAAAGAACGCTTGGGAGACGCAGAGACTGTGCATTAATCAGTCTGCAGGCTCCCGCGCCGAGACCACCGAAGCCAACAAAGTGGACGGCCGAGGACGATTCCGCACTCGAAGACGCTTTCCAAATGGCAGAGGCGCGGCACGCAGCCTAATTCAGCCGCGCAGCTCCTCGATCAATGCGGCTGCAGGCGGAAAGGGTCACCGCAAAAGCTTTGTCGGAGCAATCCGATTCAGATGCCGCGGTGGGCCCTCCTCATGGACATCGCGGCGCTGCAGCACGACGGGGCGGCGCCAATGCGAACGCCACGGAACAAAGCGGGCCCAGCATCGAGGCAGGCCCGCCGTCGGCTTGCTCTGCAACAAATTAGGTTCTATTCTTCGGATAGCCAGAAGCATATATATCTACACACATAGCCGCATGCTTCGACGCCAAGAACTTAATGTCACGTAAAGAGATGATTTGACCCCCGACTCGGGTGACCTTATAGCAGCGCGCGAGTTCGAAACCGCATGCACGCACCCCTTCTCTCGAACCGTGTGCCGCTGTGCAGGCCGAAAGAACAACCGCCACCGCGACTGCAAGCGACAACAACCATCCAGCAACGCTTGCAAGAAGCACCGCTGGACGACTTCGTGCAGAACCGACTGCGCGACGAGGAGGCGCCGGGCCGGATTCCGACCACGAATCGGAGCCCGGCCCCAGCATCGAGGCCAGTTTCATCGCTCGGGGCTCCATTATGATGTAAGAAGGTCCATTCTAGCGACGGCTCTACACCTGACAGGAGCACTTTCGGGGCATGCTGACCATGAAGAAGATGACGGGCGACGGCAACTGCATCTTCCACGCGCTCGCGGAGAAAAGCGGCGAGAACGGGGTCCACCTGCGCTCCCAGATCATCCAGTACCTGAAGGAGAACGCGGCGTCCCAAGAGCACGAAGAGCAAGTGGAAGCCTGGTTGGAGGAAGCCGAACACCTCGAAAGCAACCCGAGTAACTGGGGCGGCGACACGGCCATCGTCGCCTTCACCCTCATGAGACAGCAGCAAGCGTTCCTGCACTGCCGGGCGTCGGACGGCGAGATCTGCACGAGCGAGCGCACGCATGTGGAAGTGCGCGAAGAGGCCCGACGGCACCCCCACGCAGTACCGAACGTCTATTATCACGCAATCCACCTCTGGTTCAACGGGAAGGACCACTACGATGTGCTCGTGCCCATTGACCAGACGCCACCACCACTACCACCACCACCAACTCCACCAACACCACCACCAACACCACCAGCAGCAGCACCACCACCACCACCCCACCCAGAGCCGCGCCCGCCCAAGCGCCAGAGAACCGCAGCCGGCCAAGCTCAGCGCACCCGGCAAGGTCAGGCGCAAGGAGCCACAGAGAACCCAGAGGCGGCACCCCCCCAAGCAGCAGAGGAAGGACCCAGCCTCCTCGAAGAGCTGACCAGCATGCCCGTTGCAACGGAGTCAACGGAGCCCACCCACTGCCACCCCAGACGAAAGCTGGAAAATGCGCTCAAGCACTTCGCAAGCACCCACCTGCGAGCCCAGCCACTGATACCACCCGAAGCCAAAGCCGAGAACGTGGACCAGGGCGAAGCCTGGCCGCAGGTCTTCTGCGCATTCCAGGGATGCAAATGGTCGTTATTCTCTGGGACGGAAGAAAAGCTCCACGAGCATGTCAAGGACTCTCACGCACCGGAGCTGGAGTTGGTGGCCCAGCACATGCCCAGGCCCCTGCCGAAAGACGCCCTGACCAGCGTCTACAACGAGGCCGTCGCACTTCGATGCAGAGAGGCCGCGCCCGTCGCGGGAAGCTCTCGGGACAGAAGCGCGCTGCGCAGCTTCGCCGAGGCCACCAGCAAGGACAACGTGGAATCGCTCATTTGCTTCAGCTGCGCCTGCATTCACCCGCGCACAGCCGACATGGCGGCCAGCAGCCGCATCAGCTGGCGCAAACTCATCCAGAGCCCCGGCAGCAACGACGACAACCACGCCGAGACCACCGCAAAACTGCACGAACTGCTGAGCATCGACAAATACCTCGACTACTACGACGACCTGGCCGGCGACGCAAAGCTCAGAGACGTGGCCAACTTCGACGACTGGACGGTGACCATCCCCGGATTCGGCAACATCCTGTGCTGCCCGGAGGACCATCGATGCCAAGCCCGCCCCGAGCACCCCAGCCAGCGCACACTCTGCGAGCACTGCGAAGTGCCCCTTTGCAGCGAGTGCGACGAGCAGCTGCGAAAGGGCCGGCTGCCGCCCCTGAGCCTGTGCAACGACATGTGGACCGGCTACTCGCCAGCACGCCTACACGAAGAGAAGGTCACCGTCATGGAGATGATCTGTGCCAGCCCCTGCGTCACCACGCTGGTCTGCATGGCCATGGAAGCACGGCACCGCAGCGAGGGAACCACCCTAGACGAGCAAGCCCAGAACGCCAACCACCGCCTCGGAGCCCGGGGCAACGCCCTCACCTTCCCGCTGCCATGGGAAGACGTGCTGCGCAACCTCCAAGCGCACGAGGAAGGAGTGGCGGAAACGCAGCGAGCGGCAGCGGCAAACGAAGAGCCGCCCCCAACGAACATACCACGCGCAGGGGCGGCACTCGGCGACGTGGTGAGGGTCCTCCTGAAGACCAACAAAACAGGCAAGACCAGCGAGTCAGAAATCAAAACCCTGCTCCACCAAGCGACGGTGCGGAGGGAAGTGGTCGTCAACCTCATCCTGGACATGCAACGCCTGGGCCACCCCGCCTTTCAGCACCTGCGACAAGAAGCCGTGCGCGAGGCCGCGGCACAGCTGCCGGAGGGCGGCGTGCCCCCGGAGGTGCTGAAGGTCATCCACGGCATGAGAGAAGAGGACGAGACCAGCCACAAACTGCAGCCGCAGAAGGCGGCGGCCCCCACGGACGCCCCGGAACAAGACGTGCAGCAAGCCGGCACCATCTTCGCCAACCAGCGCGCCCGCGCCGTTCTTCCGGAAGGCTGCAACCAAGACCGAGAGGACCAGACCGCCGTGGCCACGGCCGCCCTGAACGACCTCGAGGACCAGCTCCGAAGCAAGCAGAAGAACGAGAAGATCCTGGAGACCTACGAGGTGCGCACGAGCAACATGCTCGTGGACCAGTTCCAGCCGCTCTACTTCGCCACGGCCTTCAGCTTCTGCTTCGCGCACGGCACCGCCTGTCCCGACGTCAAGAATAACCAGCAGGGAGCCCGCAACGACCGGCAGCGACGGCGGAGGAGCAGGAACCCCGACGCCCCCCAAGTGGAAATCCACGCGTGGGCGGCGGCCATGCAACGCCGAGCCGAGACCCAATTCCGGCGGGACTGGACCTTCGGCTTCACCCTCTGGAACTACCTCTTCAGGACCATGGTGAACCTGCAGCAGAACACCTTCATCTACAGCGTCCCCGACGACAACAACGGACGCAGAGCACTGACCAGCCAAGAGATCCTGGACGGCGGCAAGCAAATCCAGAAAGAGCTGGTCAAAGGGAAGTACCTCGACGTCAACGGCCAGACGAAGGCCATCAACGGAGACCTGAGCAAGGTGCGCTTCGCCACCGGACTGCAGCCGGCAGCCGTGAAGGCGCGCAAAACAGGAAAACCACTGCCAGAGCCCAGCTTGTCAACCGACGACACCAACAGAAGCTGCAGGTAAAGACTATAGTACAACCGGGGAAAAAACTTGCATACGTAGGCTCGGAACCCTTATAATGATGTAACGAAAGCCAGAAAAAGCCGCAGGTCTTGGACAACACGGTGGCGCGCAGCCGGAACACCCCCGGCACCCACGAGGTGCGCGCGACCATGCGCCACCAAACCCACGCCAATCGGGTCTGCCACGGCACCCCGCTCTTCGTGACCTTCTCCCCGTCCGAGCGAGACAACACGGTGATGCTGCGCCTGGCCCGCGCCCGGCAATCCGACCCCAGCCTCAGCCAGGAGTCCCAGACCAACCGTGCCGCACAGAGCCGCGGCAAGCCCGAGCTGGACGTGGAGTTTTGCAGCCTGAACCCGGAAGCACTCGCCGCGGAGCTGCCGCCCTACGACGAGCGGCGAGCCATGCTGACCAAAGACCCCGTGGCCTGCGCGGACGGCTTCCGCGTCCTGGTGCAGCTGGCGCTCCGGCACCTCTTCGGCGTCCGCTACTGCCCGAAGTGCCCCGACTGCGGGAATTCCGACAATCCCTGCACGGACGCGTTCGGCAGCAACGCCATGGCGTGCGGGGCATCTTCGGCCGACTCGACGCCGCCTACGGCTCCATCGAGTGCCAGAAGTCCGGAGTGCTGCACATCCACTTTCAGGCCCGCTCTCCTCAGACAACAACTATAGACCAGCAACGCACAACAAACACACACGCACGCACGAAAAGCGAGAGAACCAGCAATCTCTAGATTCATCGAGGCACAAAACGAGACACGACACCGAAACCACGGCCGCATGCTTGCCCTGCCCGCAGCTCTTCCTCCAGTGCTTCCACCAGTTCAAATCCCTCTCGGAGCTGCTCGCGCTGAACCCGGAGCACAAGATGGACCTCTTCCAGAAGTACTGCACGTACACCGCCCACGTCAGCCGCACCATCTACCGGGATCCAGAAGAATGGGAAAACAAGCGCCAGGAAACGGAGGAGAAGTGGCCCGCCTACCGCGACTCCCTCCTGGCCCTGAGCCGCCCGGACTACCAGAAGGCCGACGCGTCCATGGACGATACAACCTGGCGGCGGCTTT